TGATGCAAGCGAGCCAGACGGTGGAAGGAAGATATGGCCGATGGAGCAGAGAGGAAGACGGAAGGGAGCCGAAAGTCGTCTGTCCCCTCATGGGCCGCATGTAAGAAAAGTCACTTGTTTGGTGGTATTCTTGCCTCCCCTCCAGAACGCAAGGGAGCGAGCAAAGCGGCCCGCCGGCCTGTGAGGGTAAGTCAACCAGCCAGTCCGTCTACCCGCTCGCCAGTCAACGGAGCCGGCGAGTGCAGTTAGGGGAGCATTTCCGTTTCCTCCAAACTCCTTCCTTCCGCCAGCTGCAAGGCGGCGTGCAGCAGTTTGCCCTTTAAAAGCAAATGATAATCAAACCCTGGTCGACTTCTCCCGGAGAGACTCTAGTTAACTATGTACCAGAACGGGCGGAGGTTTAGCCTTACCGATTAGAATCGCGAGGGTCGTTTAATTCCCCTGAAATCTAATCTCTCGCATCGCTCACAAGGAGACTTCAAAAAGCCCCTCATCGAATTCCGCTTCCTAATTTCGATTTTTCTTCTTCTGACTCCGACGGTCACTGCTCTTAAATTGACGGGAGATCGCGACTGACCGAAGGCCCGGGACCAACGACGGAGCGCGGACCGTGTCGCCATCATCAACCGCCGCCGATATATTTTTCAGGGAACGTCGAGACCTTGTGAGCTCCTGTCGGATCGAGTCTCGAGTATCGCGCACAGGAGACGAAGTGGAGAGAAAGTTTAAATTTACCCGATCGTCGGTCGACGTCATACGACGGACGATGATCATAAAGAGAGCGGCGGAATACGATGGGTCCGGACAATATTTACGGCGATAGGGGAAAAACAAAAACAACAACAACGACTCCATATCCAAGGTTGGCTCCCCGCGCCGATGCTCGGCCGGTGCTCAGTTCCCACTCAGCCTCCGAAGGGCCGTCTCACGGTACACAAGAGCGGCTCCATCATCCATCTTGGAAGAAGCCGAGCCTGCCGCCAGCAATCCGGCCGGACTTGTCGACGTTGTGGGGCAGCTCACCGACTGGTCAATCGGTCGGTCGGTCGCTCGGTCGTTCAATCTGTCCGTCCGTCCGTCTCCTCGCCCGTCCAGCGTCCTAACAAAGCGAGATAGTAGCGAGAGCTCGGTCGACGACTACGTCTCGGAGCTCGTCGGCAGCGGCCTTCCGGCCCGAAGAAACCGAAGCGACCGAAGCGAGCGACGAAGGGCGAGTTTAGCGTTTTATTGACCGTTGTTATCGTTGATAAGGTTGTTGAAGTCGAAGCTTCTTGCGTCTCCATCACCGCCTTCATCATCACCACTGCTGCCGCCGCCGCCGTCGTTGTCGTCTCCGTTTCTGAAGTCTTCGATAGAAGAGCAGGAGCAGCGTACCTCAGACATATTGGCGCCGATAGGCACGACACAGGAGATCGGATCGTCGCAGTGGCGGACTGGCTGACCGGCCGGATACAATAAACCTAGATGAATGGCATCCAAGGACACCATTTGTGCAACAGCCGGACTTTCCTCTTTTACGCTCATTCTCTTCGGCGGTAGCCCTTCTGCTCGCAGCCTCCGTCCTTCTCGTTTTCTCCCCCGTCTCAACTGAACTCAGTCGGAATCGGCAAGAGTCACTTAGTGATGCGACGATTATACACACGGCTTCTCCTCGCACTCATTGTCCTCGCATCCCGTATTTTCTCTCTCCTCCGCACCGAGACCCTCCTGTTTTCCCGGAGCCAGCTCTCTCAGCTCGGGACCCTCCTATCGAGCCAGACGGACGCGTCGGGAAACGGACACCTCGACCTTGCTCGGCGCTTCGCTAATAGTCAACCCCTGCATTGTCGGCTCGCTTTCCCTTGGCGATCACACGTAAATCATCGCCGGCTAGGCGGCCGCAATGCCAGTCGATCCTTCTCCGATGAGAGCCGTTTCGCCACAAGTAGATCGTCGCCATTCTGCTCGAACGGCCCGCTTCATCGGTAGCGGAACGAATTGCCTGGCAGATTCTAAAAGGCCATGATTCCATCCACTCACTCAGTCAGTCAGTCTCGAGGGAGCAGACTACCAGGCGTTTCGATGCTCACAATTGGAATGGGAAATCTCCGTTGCTGGAACCATGCACGGGAAAAAAACAGGCTGATCCTGATATAGTGAGAGAGACCGAATTCCGGGAACACTGTCCTCCTCTGTTTTCCTTTTCGGGAGACCCAATGATTGTCTCGGGGGGTGGGCTTCGCTGGAAACGACGGCTTGGGACTCGTCCCGATAATCTGAGAGACGGCGAATTCAGACGGATCTCAGAACCCTCTCTCTCTCTCTCTCTCTTTCTCTGTCGTGTGCAATGCCCTCGGTGACACTCAAGTCGTGAACGTTGCCGTCGTCACTTCGGCTCGCAAAGCTCCTCTATTATCCCAGTCAGCCAGCCGGGCGGCTAGTCGACCAGAGGCCAGAGGAGTGTAGCGGCCGACGCAGAGCACAAGGAATTTCAGAAGGACGAAGTGACCGAGCGGCCCTGCGAGCGGCTGGACCACCAGCGAACCTAAGTCACAAGAGCAGAAGAGCTGTCTCATGGCCCGAGAAGCGTCCGCTCCGGAGTGATGATTATCATGTGGAGAATATGAAGCCGAAAACCAAGCATTCCGACAGAAGGCAACGACGCTTCTCATCTGACCAGATTGTCGAGTGGTCTGCGCGTCCAGCTCCTCGAGAGCGGAACTCGCGGAACTGCCGCTCCGAGGAGAGGCGGCGTTTCAGGCGTTAGTTTTTGGTCAGGGTTTTTCTCCAAGAGGCTCTTCAACAGTGTTTCAACAGCTTTTCCGCCGAGTTCCCAATGCCGTTTTCCATCAAGTTTCCGCCCCGCTTCCCGTCAGCTGTGCCTTCTGGGGCCCTTTGCTCACTCAGTAAGTCCGTGAAGGCGAACTAGCCCAGGTGATACCGTGGACGTGGAAGTTCAGCTTCTCAGTCAGATCCGAGGGGTCCGGTGCGGGGAAAATGATGACGGCGGGCACGCTCAGCCAAGTGGGTGATTTGACCGCTCCATGTTACCGCCAACATGTCATCAGCAACCGGAGTTGGGCCTGGTGGATACAAAGACGAGGGCGAGACTTATCGGATAGCATTCTTTTTGACGTTTTCCATTCAAGCGTTCTGGTGCCATGTTATGTGAGTATGCGTTGACTCCACTTTTGAATGAATTCCCGCGAGAGTGAGCGCATATTCATATATCATCGGTCAATAGAAACGCAGACTTGACAGCAGCCCTCAAAACCTTGATGACGGGAATGATGTCAGAGTCGGAGTCATTACCATTGGACTCATTCCAAAATCTCAACGTTTCAACCGTTTTTGCGTGCGTTCCGAGCAGGCAACTCTCGTCAGGCTTTTTCGGTACTGTCAGGATCGGAGGGAGCTCCGTCGCGCTCGAACTTGTCGCAAGCATGTGCGCACGGTTCGACCTCTCGCTGGGGACCGACACGAGGCACGAGTGAGTGAGAGGCACGAGATTGTTTCAGATTGTTCGCATTCAACGTCAAAAAAGCCCAGTCACCGAGGGCGCGCGACGGAGACTACTCCATCGAATGGAACGCTCTCATTTAGGAAAAGACGAAGACGCGGTTGATACCATCCGAGAGTTTGATGGAAAGGAATACCGATCGACAGAGGAGAAAGGAGTTCGACCGGATCTGTTACGATCCCGACAGCAGGATGCGCATCAGGCAGCTTTTCCAGGAACCATCTGGGCAGACAATGGTCGCATCGAGACCGACCGAAATGGAAATTCGAACATTGACCGGAGGGATCGGACGACTAATCGAGGCATTGAATGAGGGCTCGAAATCAGGGGACTGGCGGCTCGGCGGATAGCTCAATCTAGAAACTAACAATCTAATAAATGTTGCTTCCCACCGGCTCGCCTCTCTGCCTCCTAGTTCGCGGCGAGGGAGAGACAGCACCAGCAGCAGCCGCCGAAGTGGCCACTTCGGCCCGACTAATTCCATTACTCAGACACAAGACAAGCGGTTGCAAGCGGGGCGCCATTCAGCCAACCGCTTCCGTGGTGCCCCGTGGTCGTAAGCACCGCATCGGCGCGAGCCCCCATCATCCAGTTCGTTAGACGCTTGACTGCACGAAGAAACACTCACTCTTTCAGAAGCTCGCCCAGGAGTAATAGAGCGACTGACCGACCGACCGTCAGACAGGCAGAGAGCAGCACACATAATGCGTATTCACGGAGGAGTTGGGTCTCGTGGAAAAAATACAGCGCACAGGAAATATCCCCACGGACGAAGTCGATTGAGCAGAGGTCAATCGTCGCCTCCGATCCTCATTCGCTGCTCGTTTCCCTTTCATTGACGCGGATTGGGTTTCCTTGTTCGTCGTCGTCATCGTCGCGGTCGACGACTCAGTCCGCCGGCCAGTCCTATCCGCGAAATCGAGCCGCTGCGTAAATGCGGAGCATGCCCGAGCACAATGATCCCCAAGTCTTCCTCCCTTTCCTCCATCAGGACTACCCAAGCACTGGGCTTCAGGAAATCCGCATGGACGCGACAGAACACGAAAACTACGCGTCTTACGGACGTCGAGATCAGGCCTCCCTCTAAGCATTGGTTCAGATTTCGAAGGATCGCCAAGAGGTCCAGGAGGACCGGACAACGACGTTCGCTTCCTCGTGACGCCATTTTCGATCCTTGAGCGACGGAGTCACCCGTCATCAATACAGACGAGTTTGCAAACCCCTCAAGCCTCAAGCCGCTCACAGTCTTCAGCGGCGACCCGCACGAACGATCTATTTTAGACTTGCATCAACGTCAAACACAATGGTCCACAGCCGACATTCGTGGTCGGAACAATCATCGTCCGAGTTCGTAAGGTTGCCCATTTCTCCCGACACGTCTCGAAGATTGAATCTTCGCCCTTGCGCTCAATACGACCCCGCAGTGCACGATAACATAACACGTACACGCGGGCTGGAAATTCCTGTGAAAAATTGAAACCCACCGCACGGGACAACTTACCTTCGGCACGCCTCCCCGTCGGATATCGTTCACCTGAGACAGCTCGAGTACGGAACCGTCTTTTCCGTCGCTTTTCCAGAATATGAAAAAGCCACAGTCGTCGACTTTGAACAGCGCGTTCTGCTCCACAACGATCTGCTCCTTCTCCTGCAACAATCGAATTAGGAACAGTTAGTCCGACAGGCGACCACTTCATTGATCCGCACCGACAAGGAGCGGCAGCTCTCGAATCGATTTGTTTCGCGACCCGATTCGTCCGAGACGCACCGAGTCCCGTTTTTCTCATGGCACTGATGGGGGAGGGAGTAGATGAGAAAGTCCCGATATGACGACACCAGATCCCAGTATGGAGAAGATATTGGGAAACTATTTTTTTTCTGTCTCGCGCTCCGGTGTTGTGGTCTCAGCGAATACTTGTAGCAGTAATACGTAGTAGCAGTAGCAGCACCGAAGCGGCCGCTCGTGTTTGGAAATATATAAGCATGCATGTCATGGAATGCCCCGCAATTCCTAAGAGGCATAGCGTGCCGCTTTTCATCCGTCGCTGGTGTTAACGACATAAGAGGTATGCCCGCACATCTGAGCGAGCGTGTCTGGCGGGCTCCTGTCGACCCGCCGGCCAGTTTGGCTTACTTAAGGATTCCGCTCGCTCCACCCGCGTACACGGTAGCTCGTCCTTGCTCCATCATTGGAGCAGCGGAGGCAGCTCCTCAGACAGTCCGCCAGTCACGCAGTCGGTCTCTCCGTCCGTCCGTCCAGCTCTCCGTGAGAGTCTTCTTGACGGTGACTGCGGGGAGATCCCCTGGAAAAGTTCGCTGTCCGAATCTCCCTGGGGTATCCATTTCCCTGCGAACATCGACCTTATCTTTCCTTTCTTCGAACGTAGCTCGGGAGACGAGGGCTCGCGTCGCAGTCGACAGTACGCCTTTTCTGGACTCAGGCCGCAGGTCGATGTTGCTTCTGAGCAACGTCGAACTCAACACCCGTCGCGGTCGGTCTCGTCGACCAAGCGGGCGTTGATAGCACCCATCGGGACGCACCACAGCGGAATTCCATCCTAACTAGAAAGCGGGGAGTTCTGGGGCGGTTGGGAAAGGAAATTCTACGGGAACCGGTGCGCTAACGAGAGTAAGGGAGCAGGTCTACTCATCGCCCAGTGCCCTGTCGATTCTGTGAGCCGAGCGCTGCATCGGGTTGCCTCCGGATGAGGGACTCTCGACGGGAGGACGCTCCCAAGGTCACCGGAATTCAAAGGTCAGATGTCTCCCGTCCTACATGTCGGCGGAAAGGCCCGACGAGCTGGTTGGGAGATGAGAGAGAAAACGAGGTTGGAAGGCTTGGACTTCGCCCGTAGGAGTATTCCAGCGCGAAATCGAATTCTGGACTTCTGAAAAATGGAAGAGGGGCCGCTGCTAGCGGGAGCAATCCACCCGAGCCCTCTCAATAATAATAATACACACTGCCTGTGATTCGCTGTGGAGAATACTCGCATGAGACGAAAAAGACGCACTTGGGAGCGGTATCCGACCATGAATTTCATCCGTGGAGCAAATCCTCCGTCGGAAAGCCTAGGTGGCGCCCAAATGAACATGTTCTTTCTCGTAGAGCGGACAAGATTCTGACTTAATGTGGTCGGGGACAGCTGATTCAGCGGAAGGTTTGAGTGACGGACCGAGGCTGGAAATTGTGCTGTCCCAGCAAGATGATTGCAGGTGGCCGGACAGCCCGCAGACCTCGAAGCTTGGACAAAACGCAGTCCAGGATGAAAATCGGGAGGCGAATGCAACCGATGAACGGACGAGCAAGCGGCCGGACGACTGGCTGGCTGGCTGGCAGGCACGGATAACTCCCTATAAGGAGCGCACGGAAAAGGCTTTCTACGCCTCGCGTCCAAGTGCCTCCCTTAAGTGGCTGTGTAATCCAATCAGCCCCCGTGAGCGAGCAGGGTAGAAAATTTCCCCTCCGAGCACAAGCGCCAGACAGGAAAGAGCTCCAGGATAATGTCAACGGTGCAGTCGCACGTCCAAGCAACAATTTGCCAGTGGAGTCCTCAGAGCAACAATGACATGCTTTTTCGAAAAAAAAAAGAAGGAGAAGTTTGCCGGTAGACGGCCAATCAGTCGGGCTGGGCTTATTTCTGCACCATGACCTTGTCCAGAGACAGTCGAAGGAAACCAGAGGAGTTCAGTTTTGGTACAAAGAAAAATCGAAACTGCGCACGGAACAATGTTCGGACGAACGGGGACGAGGGGGAAAATTGATTCAGCCGACTTCAGGCGCAATAATAACAAATCTATAAAATCGATATGTACACTCGTAAACCCGAGAGGTCGAGCCCGCGCACCCGGAAAGCAAACTCGAGCGTGTGAGCATAGGTGATTCCGGACCCGTAAGTCGATGCCGAGTCCGCTAAGTCAGAGCAAATGAGTCGGAAGCAGACTGGAAAAGAGACTGGGAAACATCTTAGAGCCCGAAGGGCTCGGCACCGAAAGGTCAGGAGGTCGACGGAGAAGCCCGGGAGTTTGGATTTCGAAGACCCGAGCGAGGGACTGGAGGATATCGGAAGGGTCCGTAGCTCAGAGAGCCGGGCTTGCAACGCGGGGCTCAAGGAGTTAGGGCCCCGGATAGCGGAGGAGATGGAATCGGAGATTGTCGAAGTTTGAGGGAACTAAGGTCTCGGAGAAGTGCCCGTGCAGGATGAGCGGTCGAGAGCACGCGAGCCCGAGTTTCGAACTTGAAAAACTCGTGGATCGCCGCTTCCCGAGCCCGAAATTTCCAAGGCTCAGATTCTCAGTGCTGAGCCTCCAGAATAGATATACGGGCTATCGGAGGCTCCCGTGCCTTAAGTGCTGAGAGTATTAGGAGTTTGAGAAAGTGAGGGATATAAGAGCGCGGGCTCTGAACCGTCTAAGGAGAGGGGGGGGAGTAAATCATGGGGCGGGTGAGCGATGCGGCAGCGCGAGCCCAGTATGCCTCAGCTAAGGGGAGGATTCCGAGAAAAGAAAGGAGTACGAAGACGACGACGCGGCAGATGGGAGATGTTGAGCAAGCGGGGAATTCTTCTTTCCTCTTGTTCGATGATTAAATTCATCGTTATGGCGTGCATAGAGAAAAGGTGGAACATCGGGGACGACGAAGAAACGAGAGAGGGCCGCGAGAGGAAGGGAGTGGAAACGAAAATTACGCCGCCAGGGAGAGACCAGCGAAAAAATAATGAAGCAAATCGGAGTGGAGAACGATGGCGAAGGTCAGAAAGAGTTCGCACAATTATAGGGAGGAATAGAGCGAACGGACGACGATTGAGACCTGCGTAGTGATCTGATCAAACACTACAGCCCTTTGAGTCACCGAGGTAACGCAATCGTCTGACATACGAATTCCCCTCCAATACGCGCTTTTCCGATCCATGACTATGCCCTTGCCCCTTTGCTCGACCTCCTACTCTCATCTGAAAAGATCCCGTATCTACTTCAAATCCACGTACCTCCATCGTGAACATCGCCGATTACGGAACAAACGTAATCCAACGATTGAGGGGAGGGAGAGATTTCCAGCTTCAAACCGGAAGGTCGCGCTTGCTATAATTCATTCCATTGCTCGACATCAAGACGCTCGAAGCAAAGGGTTCGAGACTCTGAATGACGAGCCGGAGGGCGGCTCAGACCGGGTGTCAAACGAAAATTCGGCTTCCTGCCAACAGCCACGGCTTTCCAGGGCGAACCGCAAGACAAATTAACGCCATATCCAGCGATTTTGGTAAGTTCGCCGCAGACGCAATTGGCGAGGCTTGGCGCCTTTCGCCCGACCAAGGATCTATCGCGGTTCCCGTCGCTTCCTCTGCGCCAGTAGCGGCCGTGACAGCGACGCGACGCAGTCGGGAGCCGCGATGTTGAAGAGCAGGAACGTCGAGGACGTCGCCGTGTACTCGATGACAAGAAAGCTCTCGCCCCCCCGCCTCCCCGAGATCGGTGCGCCCCCCGGAATCCGAACAATATAAATGATTCGAGTTTGAGCTGAATGACGACGGGTCCACCCGGCAGGAAGCGTCAGTTTCTGTGAGCGATCTCCAACAGAATTCCTCTTGAGCGCGTTGTCGTGCCGCCAATGTGTCATGTGCGCGAGGTCGGGAAAGAATTGTGACGTTCTTGGAAAAACATTCGAGAAACACGAATAGAGGGCGATTTCAGCCGTCGCGGTCTCTCCTCGAGCAATGCGGCACGAGCACACTATCTCGATCGAGCACGATTGTACCGACGGCGGTCTCGGCACGCACAAACGACAAGAACAACAACAAGTCGAGGTAATTCCGCGGAGCGCGGCAGCAATGCTGCCCTGACTTGCTCGGAGGCATTTATCCAGACGAGCATAGTCCCCGATGGGATTGCTTCGCGAGTTTCTCGATTCAATGCGGACGATTGTCCCGCATCGTAAAAAAACGAAAATTCCATGCCGGAGCTCTTCAAATTTCAAACTTCAGACGAGACCGAACAAGCCTTGGCCGTTCAATGGGAGGGCCCAGCGCCGGGCCTGGCGGGGGGGATTTCCCCCGAAGGCTTCGTTCGACGACGTCGAAGCGACGCAGAGGTAGTCGTGTCCGCTCTATCCTGCCGAGAAGAGCAAAGTGTTCTCTCCCCATGCTGTCCTCGTCTACAAGCGGTACCGGGCGCCGAAAGCTTCCGTTCGTCCCCCGGGATCCGGCTGGGTGATGTACTAGCCGGCCTACGTAGAACAGTAATTAGGCCTCAGTTTTCTCACTCCGATAGTGTCTTTCCCGTGAACAGACGGGCAACGCCGAGTTCGCTCCAGCGCATCTCCTCGTTCGTACGCTCTGGCTCCGCTTCTACCGCAGCATCGGCACGGGAGTGCACCCTCAACTTTTTCGGGCTGATCCACACAGCAAAGGTTTAACGTCCCGGGTACTGTTGTTCACATTGCTTCCGAGGACGGATCCATAGAGCAAATGTACCCAGGAGGATCAAGGCCGAGTACGTGCGCTTCCGAAAGGAATATTTTTCCGGTAGCAGGGATCGGACCCACACCGCCCCCCGCGCGAGCGGCGTCGTTGCGGCATTTCACGAAGTGAAACGCACGCTTGCACGAGTAGTGACAAACGCGCTAACCACTCGACCACCTGTCGGTACGGGAGT